ATCCATGTATCAAGTATGCTCTCTCTCTCTCTCTCTCTCTCTCTCTCTCTCTCTCTCTCTCTCTCTCTCTCTCTCTCGCTCGCTCGTTTTCTATAAGATCTCGCGACATCTCTGTCCCAATCCCTCGCTTGCTCTCTCAGGTGCGTATTCTTGTGTGGGCATGGGGTGGGGCGGGTGTGCGCTGGCGTGCTACACGCTCCGAGCTCTTTTTCTCTTCTTCGTTCGTTTTGATGGGATTGAAGCGGGCTTCGCATGTTTGAGCGCGTTCTGGTCGTTGATGAAAGGCTGAAAACTGAGCATGTCTAACTAGTGTTTTGTTCCTGTGTTTTGTTCACCTGTCTTCACAGCGCCTGTGTCTTCACAATGCGCGTATACTTAACCTGTTTATTCATCCTTTTCGCGCCGATGCTATCTCGATTTTTCACTGTGGTCTGTCCTTTTCGATATCCGCTAAAATTAGAGCGATATAGAGCAGATCAGCATATGGCCCTTGAGCAAGGAGTTTTCATTGTGTTTCCCCCCCCCCCCCATTGTGGTTGTTTTCTAACACGTGCGTTACTCGAACTCGGTTGTTTTGCAGCAAATGTATCGCACCGGAGAAGGCAAGGAGTTGCAATGCTCCATCTGTCGGGAGAGGGTTGAGAGGGATTCCAACGGCAATCCCTTTATGCCGTGTGATTGCGGCTTCCCTGTCTGCCGCGCCTGCTACGAGTTCATTCGCGAGCAAGAAGGCGGAAGATGTCCACAATGCCATGAGCAACTCAAGTGGATGAAAGGTATGGCATTCACATCCCATGGACTCATGGAGCCTCCACCCGATCGAGTATTTACAGACCCATCATACGCTGCCCCACTATATACCAACCGACTATGGGCCTCGCTCCACTACTCTCGACATGCACAAATTTAAAGACAAAAATGGAGCTGTCTCTTTCCATGTTCCAGCGGAAGGTCCACCCTCGTTTTGCAAAATTGCGTGAGTAGTGGAGTGAGGCCCAATATAACCACTACCCTATCGACTCTAGACCGATGCCCGCGCTATCGTCGTAGTCGGTCTGAAGTTTTGTTGTAGGAGTCACTTGAGTATCAGGAGTGGTTCACCCCCATGCTCACTGCCTGCGTCCTTTTTTTTTTTTTTTTTTTTTTTTTTAACCTCACTGCCTGCGTCAATCTATAAAACTAAGTCCTTCCAAAAGCGATGCTTAGCTCTCGTAATTTGATTGCATTCATTTGTGCATACGTTTTTTAAAATCGTAGCGATTGGAGGGAGTATCAGGACGGAGGCACACGCTCTCGTAATTTGATTGCATTCATTTGCGCATATATTTTTTAAAATCGTAGCGATTGCGTGATGTTAACAGATACGATGCTATGGTGTTAATTAACATCGTGTCAGGAGTGTGGAGTTGAGAGGGTGGTAATCTTCACTTCGCAAAGTCAGATCAGGTGGGGCTTTTGATGAAAGGGGGTGTAAAAGCTTACAGGGCCTGAAAGGGAGGTGAAAGGGGGGTGCAAAAATTGAAGGGCCCACTGTGCCCGATACTCGATCATCCCTATGACAAGTCATCGAACCCCAGAAAAAAACCGACTGCCGGCTGCGAGGTGGAAGGTATGCACCTGGCCTATTAGTGGCGGAAAGTACGTTCGACGCGTCCAGCTGTATATTTGCTATCAACGAGCAATTCGAGAATCGGCCTACAATCTGGGGCCACGAGAGGCCGCGCGAGAGTGGGCTAACGCAGCGGCCATAGCGGCGGTGGCGGCGCCCGGTCGTCGTTAGTTGCGGCTGAGTAGGTGCTACGTTTGAGCCTCGGGTTTTCATCCTTCCCACGTGGCGCCTACCCTGCCAGGCACCATAGCTGTGTGAGAGCTATGGCGACAGTGCCCTGGCGTAGCCTAGTCCTTGAGTGGGTAGGGAGTGCCTCTGCACTCTTACCCCAAGGCATCCTGGCAGCCTTGTATCTGACCTGTAAACCAACCTTTATACCAATCTACACCTATGAAGCCATTGACACCAGAGGAGCCGTCCTCAACATAACTGCAGGGGGGGCTCCTTTTTCACCATCTATTGACAGCGTGGTTTATCTGATTACACGCCATGTCGACTGCCGAGTTCTTACAGTACTCAAGTCCTTTGGAGTTTTGATGAAGATCAGCAACAGCGCCAGCGGAGGCAGTGGGAGAGTGGGAGAGCTTACGTTGGTGGTGGGACTGTTGCCGGCACTGCCAAGGGTAAAATGAGTTCTAGTCTGTATCTGGCAATGGAGGCGGTGATATTCTTCATTTGCACTCCAAAAAAAAAAAAAAAAGAATCGGCCTACTCCCGTAGATTCTTGAAAGGTATGCACCTGGCCTTTTAGTGGCAGCAAGTACGTTCTGAGATTGATCGCCGCGAGTAGTCGTAGTACCAATCGGTTTAGTCGAAGTACGCAGAGAGGCCCGGCGCGTCGGGTGATTGTGCCAGGTATGCACCCCTCCCTTGCCGTAACCTTAGTATCTTTCTCTCGAAAATTGTTCTGAGATTGATTTCCAGGACATCATGACTCAAGTCCTTCGGGACATCCGTTAAAATTGGAACGATACAGAGAAGATTAGCATGGCGCCTGCGCAATCAAGGATGACACGCATAAATCGAGAAAAAGGGGGAGCGTGACGAGCGTCTGAAAATTGGGAAATGTTCGGTACATGGTTCAAACCTTAGTATTTTTCTCTCCAAAATTGTTCTGAGATTGATTTCCAGGACATCATGACTGAGAAACGAGGAGCGTCGGAAAATTGGGAAACGTTCGGTATATGGGTCAAACGTTAATGTCTTTCGAAAATTGTTCTGAGATTTGATTTCCAGGACATTATGACTGAAAACGGGGATCGAAGGAAAATTGGGAAAAGTTCGGCACATGAGTGAGAGCCATGGTCCGGGAAACGACTGAAGTCAAAGTTTTGGTCCTGGCATCGTTCGAGCTATACAAAGGGCAGATGGAAGTGCGCCCAGAGTATTAGTGTCTCTGGATCTCTCAGATCGACAGTCCCATTCCCAGTACTGGAATGTTCATCGTGGCCATTTTGGGTCAAACTGGCCCCGGCATTTCGGTTGTGAGGGACAACGGTTCCGCAAGCAGCTGTCTGGGGCACTTTTCCATGGTGCTGTGTACGCCTTGTTTTTTCTTTTGGGTCATGAAATTGCTTTTTTTTTTTTTTTTTTTTTTTTTTTTCGCCTCTGGGGCCGGGACCCACCAGTACCGTTTTACAACGGTGCGACTGCGTTTTCGATCACGTGTAGACGGTGGTGACGTCTGTGGGGCCGTGGATGGCACTGTGCATACATTCCTTTGTAGTT